TTAAGTATGACATTTAGAAAGCTCCTGTGCACTTCAGTGCTTTCTGTTCTTAGAGAAAAATGCTCCCATTATTTTGTTTTGTAGCCTGCATGCATCTAAATTTAAAAGGTAGAAGTGCTTTATAGCAAGCTTCTTGGTGATGGAACAGTTCTAAGTGAACAAACTATTATCCTCAGGTCCTCTGGGAAAAATGACACAAAGTTTAATCACTCAGAATGTTTTCACTTAAACACATTTTAGAAATCTCATTCTAACTCTGATGTTAGCACTTTACTTTGTGTTTACAGTGCTTATAAAAGCTAATTAATAAGGATTCAAGTTCAGGAGTCTATATATAATTTTCTATATATGAATTTCTTTTACATATGATTTTATTTTTGGCAGGCAGAGTGGACAGTGAGAGAGAGAGACAGAGATAAAGGTCTTCCTTTGCCGTTGGTTTACCCTCCAATGGCCGCCGTGGCTGGCGCACTGCGCTGATCCGATGGCAGGAGCCAGGTGCTTTTCCTGGTCTCCCATGGGGTGCAGGGCCCAAGCACCTGGGCCATCCTCCACTGCACTCCCTGGCCACAGCAGAGAGCTGGCCTGGAAGAGGGGCAACCGGGACAGAATCCGGCGCCCCGACCGGGACTAGAACCCCGTGTGCTGGCGCCGCTATGCGGAGGATTAGCCTAGTGAGCTGAGGCGCCGGCCCTACATATGATTTTATGTCTGTATCTAGACTAGCAGAGTTAGCTAAGCCCTAAAACTGGAAGTTATCATCCTTATGTTCTCTTTCCCACAGGCAATTGGTCACCAACTCCTATGGATTTGATATTTTAATTATCATCTCAATTTAATATGACCCCTTTCTATCTCCACAGCTAGTGGTCTCAGCATTTCTCTCTAGCTTTTCTGTTAGATTTCTTTGGTTTTGCAACCCTTCTATATGCTATTCAGTGAAATTTATTAAATGCAAATTGATGATACCACTCCATCCCTAAACATCTGTTCACACCCACTGTGTATATGTTTCCAGACATGGCATATGAGGGAACCTCAAAAAATTTCTTAAAAATGGACATTGTCTTTTAAATGCATTTTCCCACAGTCTTCTAAATCACTCTTGAATAAAACCCCTTAAGATCTGGGGCTTGATAACCCTCCTAGCTCTTCTCCCCTCTTTCTCTATTTAAGCTCTGTTTGTGTTTATTGAAACTCTAATTGTGGTTTTCTTTTTATTTTTTTAAAGATTTTATTTATTTATTTGAGGTAGAGTTACAGACAGTGAAAGAGATAGAGAGAAAAGTCTTCCATCTGCTGGTTCACTCCCCAAATGGCCACAACAGCTGGAGCTAGGTCATTCTAAGCCAGGAGCCAGGAGCTTCTTCTTGGTCTCCCACATGCGTGCAGGAACTCAACCACTTGGGCCATCTTCTGCTTTCTCAGGCTATCAGCAGGGAGCGGGACTGGATGAGAAGCAGCTGGGGCACTAACCATTGCCCATATGGGATGCTGTGCTGCAGGCAGAGGCTTAGCCTACTATGCCATAACCCCAGGCGCTAATTGTGGTTTTCTGAATGCAGCTTGCTGGACCTTTTCATGCCCACTGCCTAGAATCCTTCACTCCATTTCATTTCAATCATTGCTTCTTTGGAGAGACTTCTGTAACTTACTTTCCTCTTTTTGATTTATTTTACCACTCAAATTCTCCAACAATAGGGGCTAATGGTCTTTGCTCCTAAAGAACTGTATCCAACTGTCTTATCATTTTTATTGTACCCCATATTGTAATTTTTAGCTTCCTCTTCTGCTAGATACATATTCCTTGAGGCCCGGAGCTGTTATTAATTTCCTTTCTGAGACTACTTAGTAAAACATCAGAAAATGCTCCCTTTGAAAATTATTATTTAAAAATTATTTTTTGAGAGAGATTGCACCTACTGGTTCACTCCCCAAATGTCTGCATGGGACTGGAGCCAGGAGCCAGGGCCAGGAGCCAGGTACAAAATCCAGGTTTTTCACCTGGCTGCTAGGAGGAACCCAATTACTTCAACTATCACTGCTGCCTCCCAGGATCAACATTGGAGGGAAGCTTGAGTCAGAAGCTGGGACTGGGAATTGAACCCAATCACTCCTACGTGGGATGAGGGCATCCTAACTTACAGCTCAACCAGTAGACCAAACACCTGCCCTTTTCTATTGTGTTTCTTATCAAACTTTGATTTACAGCTTTAGCATCCATTTATGCCTGAATCGGTTATTACTTTGATGATCACAAAACAGTGACTTTCTAATTTTTTCATACTTTTTAAAAACTTATTAGTTGATATTCTGTTGTGAAGAAGTGCTTTCCCTTTGTATCAGTATGGACTAATAGATTTTTATTTTTAATCTATGGATTATATTCTGTTACCATTATTGTTATTTTTATTTTGATACTCAGTTTTTCCAGATTTGGGCAATGAGAACTTGCTCAGGTGGATTCCTGGTCATTCTGACTCATGCTATCATTGGGTACTTCTTACTGTCTGGCATAGCAAGATGCTGTAGGTTTATAAAGTCTTGTATTTTCTCTGCCCAGCTCTGGAATCAGCCTTTTCTTTAAGGAGCTCTCGTTTCCTACTTTCTTTCTTTTTTTAAAATTAAGGAAGGGAATTATTTTTATAGTTTTATTTGTTCATTCATTCACTTAATTGAGAGGAAGAGAATCCTGGGGATGGGTGGGGGCAGAAAAAGACATCTTCCATCTGATGGTTCACTCCCCAAGTGCCCACAACAGGTGATCTGGACTAAGTGGAAGCCAGGGGCCAGGAACTCCATTTGGTGCTCCTCCAAGGGAGGTAGGAACTGAAATACTTGAGGCATCACTTGCTGCTTCCTGGGCACATTATCAAAAAAGTAGATCAGAAGCAGAGTAGCCAGGATTTGAACCAGATACTCTGATAAGAGAAGTAGATGTCCTGAGGGGTGGCACTGAACCCCAATGTTACTTTTTAATTTTCACCAATCTGATAGTATCTCAGTGTAATTTTAATTTGCATTTCTCCATTTGTAAGTTAGGTGCAAATCTTTCCATGTTTTGGTATTTTACAATGATCTTTTTAAAAAAGATTTATTTATTTATTTGAAAGAGTTACCCAGAGAGAGGGAGATAAAGATAGATATCTTCCAACCACTGGTTTACTTCCCAGGTGGCTACAACAGCCAGGGCTGACCCAGGCCGAATCCAAGAACCAGGAGCTTCATCCAGGTCTCTCACATGAATAGCAGGGACCCAAGTACTTGGGTCATCCTTCCCTACTTCTCCTAGGCTAGTAGGAGAGAACTGCATTCCGAGTGGAACAGCCAGGACATGAATGGGTGCCCGTATGGGATGCTGACTGCACAGGTGGTAGCTTTACCCACTATGCCTCAAGACTGGCCCCTTTCAGTAATCTTTTATTATGAATTTTGTTCATATCTTCCATGCATTTTTCTATAAGGTTTTTGATCTTGTTCTATTACCAGGAGCTCTGTTCGAATAACTTCCAGCAAGATTCAACAGACATTTCTATCATTATAAAAAATTTATCTTTTTTCTTTTACGTGTGGATTTCTTGCAACTAATTAATGTCTCAGACTAATTCATTAATTAATTTCCTAAATATAGTAGGCTTTAATAAATGTTAACTTTCTGTTATTTTAAAATTATTTTAAGTTATTTATTAGAAAGGCAGAGATGGAGAGAGAGAGAGAGAGAGAAGAGAGAGAGAATCTCCCATCTATTGGTTCACTCTCCACAAACCTGCAACAGTCAATGCTAGCCCAGGGCTGAAGCCAGAAGCCAGGCACTCTATCCAGGTCTCTTATATTGGTGACAGGGATCCAACCACTTCATCCATTACCTACTGCCTTCCATGGTTCACGTTAGCAAGAAGCTGGAATTTGGAACAGAGATGGGACTTGAACACAGGAACTCTGATATGGGATGCTGACATCCCAGGTGGTGTCTTAACTATTATGTGAAATGTCTGCTCCTGCCCTGGTGTTTTTATCTATACACAGTATGATATAGGACTACAAACAGTGAAGTTGTTTGACCAGAGATGATTTGACAGTATAAATTACTGAATCTCTTATAAGCATTTTAGATCTGGAAAGGGCCTGTGAGGACTGTCTAGCTCAAATTCCTGAATTTTAGAGTATAGTTTGAAGGAAAACAATTTAACAAACTGGTGTTGAATTAGAGGCTTTATCGGAATTATACCTGTGGTCTCATAATACCAAGTCTAGTTTTCATTTGACTACTTGTAATGAATTGAATGGCATAACCCCTTAATTCATGACCATTTAGAACCCTAGAATGTGACCTTATTTGGACTACTATCTCTGCAAATGTGGCCAAATTAAAATGAGGTGGGTCTTATCCAAGCTAACTGGTATCCTCATAAGAATGAAAAGCAGAGACACAGGGAGATGCCAGGAGCAGAGAATGGAGTGATGCAGGTCTAAGCCAAAGAGTGCCAGGGATTGACATCTACCAGAAGGTAGGAAGGGGAAGGAAGGAGTCTCCTTTACAGGTTTCAAAGGCGTTAAACCCTGTTGACCCCTGAGTTCAGGCTTGTGGCCTGTGGAAGAGTGAAGCAATGCATTTCTGTTAAGCCATTCAATTTGTGGTATTTTGTTATGGCATCTTTAGGAAACAAATACACCATATCCTGTGCTACTTCTTTAGTATAAAGAGATTCTGCCTTGAATATTACTTAAACATTATGCAGAAAGTTACATTCTTCATAAATGCAGGATTTTTTTCCCCCTTGCTGGTTACATCAGCCTTAACATTACCTTATGTCATTTAGGAGGTTATGATATTATTGTCCTGGGGTTTTCCAGAGGTATATCACTAAAGATTTTGCCTTTTTTTTTTTTGCAGTAATTAATGTTGAGGGGTACATGAAATGTGAGTGTGTGTGTGTCTTCTGGATTTTCTGTTATATGGTATTATATGGTATTATGAAATAGTCTACTCTTGTTTTCAGATTGCTGAAGCTGAAGGAGATGTTTAACTCCAAGTTTGGATCCTCTCCCAAATTTTATGTTCGAGCCCCAGGAAGAGTCAATATAATAGGTATTTCAAGTTTCTTTTTAAACATTTTCCTCTTCCTTTGGTAAGACCCAAATTTTTGTTAATGTATTTCTTTCTTAATTTTTCTAAAATAGAATATTTTACATACATCCACTAATAGTAAGATATACTTTTGCATAAGGAACACACTTTATTTTTGTTTTTCTCAATCCAAATTACTAACACTAATTTTGTCCATTTGTTTTTTAAATCTGTAAGTTTGTTGAAATCTAGATGTTAATATTTTTTAATGGAGGATGAATATATCTTGCTATGCCTCAGATTAAAATTTTAGACTGTAGTAATAATTTTACTGTGTTTATACTGAATCATGAGTCAGAGGAACATTTGGAAAGCTTAGATTCCTTGCTTTATAAGTGTGGCTCACATTTTTCAGATTTCTAGGTGGATTTATCTTTGTTTCTTCTGTGAAGTATTTTGAGTTTTACTTTCTTTTAGAAATAAATAGCATAGCCTTTTTTTTTTAAAGATTTTATTTTTATTTATTTGAAAGAGTTACAGAGAGAGGTAGAGACAGAGAGAGAGGTCTTTGATCTGCTGGTTTACTCCCCAGATGACCGCAATGGCCGGAGCTGCGCCGATCCAAAACCTGGAGCCAGGAGCTTCTTGTGGGTCTCCCACGTGGGTGCAGGGGCCCAAGCACTTGGGCCATCTTCCACCGCTATCCCAGGCCATAGCAGAGAGCTGGATCAGAAGAGGAGTAGCTGGGACTAGAAGCAGTGCCTATATGGGATGCTGGCGCTTCAGGCCAGGGCGTTAACCCGCTGCGCCACAGCGCCGGCCCCAATAGCATAGCCTTTTAACATTTTTGCCTATAATTTTTTGTCCATCTTCATATATAAATAAAATTGATATAGTTGTAGTTATGTAACATTATTCTGTTTTTCATTTAACTGATCATAAATATTTTTCCATTTCCAGTATTCATAAAGATTGTTTTAATGACTTCACAATAGCTAAATTGAAATTTAAGGAACAGTTTTCTTTAAATATACATAAACCTTTCAAATTTTTCAATATTATAGCCAGTAGATTGATTAAAAAGAAACATTGGGTAAGAACAGCATATTCAGTTGTCATTATGTATTACTGTCACTGAGCCAATAAGAGCTTCATTGCCCACGTGCATTGGAAAGCCAGACAGTGATGCCATGGTCTTAATGGAGAGAAAGTTTATTAGGAGCCAGCACTGTGACATGGTGGGACATCCCCATCCCATATTGGAATGCTGGTTTGAGTACCACTCAGCTATTCCACTTCTAATGCTGCTTCCTGGTAATGCGCCTAAGAAACAGCACATAACGGCTCGAGGACTTGGACTCCTGCCACCCAGGTAGGAGACCTTGATGGTGTCCTAGCTCATGGCTTCAGCCTGGCCCAGCCCTGGCTAGTGAGGAGTGAATGAGCAGATGGAAGATTTCTCTCTTTCTTTGCCTTACAAACAAACAAATAAATAATGAATGTTTTCTAATTTAGTTTATTAGGAGGTAGCCAACTTAGGAACTAGGAACAATGTTTGCATTTACAAATATTTATATTTCTGATCAGCAAGATTTTTAGCATTGGAATTTTTGTCATAGGCCTTCTTGAGTTGAATGTTACTTAGAGGACATTTAGATCCTGTTTTTCTTCTAAATTTATTCTGGATCTAAGTGGATTTCAGAAATACATGTACTTTACACGCAGAGTTGTTTTTACCAAGTTGTGCCTGTGTTATTTATAATGAGACCCATTATTAAGGCCAATGAGGGGCTGGTGCCACAGCTCAATAGGCTAATCCTCCGCCTGTGCGCTGGCACACCGGGTTCTAGTCCCGGTCGGGGCGCCGGATTCTGTCCCGGTTGCCCCTCTTCCAGGCCAGCTCTCTGCTGTGGCCCGGGAGTGCAGTGGAGGATGGCCCAAGTGCCTGGGTGTGGGGAGCAACTCGGACTAGACTAAGTTACTGGAATTAAGACTTATTCTATGCATCTGCTCTCCCACAATATGGCGCTGAGAAGGGAGAAACAGCTTCTACACAGCTGCCTCCAGTTCAACCAATAAACAGCAGGACCTGCTCCTGATTGGAGGAGAGCAGCGTACTCAGCGTGTGGGTAGCAGAGTTGGGATTGGTGGAAGAGGACTATAAAGGAGGAGAGAGACAACATGCACCAGGAACATCTAAGGGGAACATCTATCTGAAGGAACACCTGAGCAGCCCCCGAGAGAGCCGGCCGGCGGTGTGCCGCTCCCCTGCGGAAGTGGGGAAAGTGGCCAGGGGGAACCGCCCTTCCACGGAGGTGGAAGGGACGGTAGCCAACCCGGGAAGAACCAGCAGCAAACCCAGGGAGGGCCGAGCAGATAAAAGAACAGCGCAGGGTCCTGTGTCATTCCTCCACGAAGACGGGGAGCGACATAATGGTGCCGTGACTCGGATATGAAGTCTAGGCAGGGTTTAGTGTCGTTCCTCCATGAAGAGGGGGAGCGACACCTGGGCCCTGCACCCCATGGGAAACCAGGAGAAGCAACTGGCTCCTGCCTTCGGATCAGTGCAGTGTGCTGGCTGCAGCACGCCAGCCATGGCGGACATTGGAGGGTGAACCAACGGCAAAGGAAGACCTTTCTCTCTGTCTCTCTCTCTCTCACTGTCCACTCTGCCTGTCGAAAGAAGAAATACAAAATACAAAGGCCAATGAGGATATATTACTGAAGATATTGGCCATGATGTCTTCTTTGAAGAAGCAATGGAAAATTCCTAATTTGACTGAGGATATGATCATATATATTTTCTGTTGCAGTTGCCAGTAGCCACATGTGACTTATTTAATTAAACTGAAACAAAATTTAAAATTGACCAGCCACATTTCAATCTCAGTAGCCACATTTGGCTAGTGGTTACTGTATTGGACAGCACTGATATAGAACATTTCCATCACTCCAGAACAGTCCATATCCTGTGCTGCATGGTCTGGATGTTTGTTTTGGCTGCCAGAGGAGCAGGAACAGAAGCTTCCTCTGGTTGTTCCTTGAGTCTCCCTAAGGCATAAGGTCCTAGGGAGATGACTAGGTGGGCAGTTCCTGTGTAGATCTAGAGCATAAAGAACAGGTGGCTGCCAGCTGACCCTTAAATCTTTGAAGAATATATATCTCATTTCTGGGTTCACTCATGTAGAATACATCTGTTTAATGTTGGAGGGGTTGAGTTGAATCATATTTTTTCCTAGTATTCCATTTTTGCTTTTCCTCATGTTCTTTCCTCCACCTGAAACCTTTAGCCTATATCCTAGTCCACATGACCAATTTCTGCCTATTTTTTGTTCTTTTTTTTTTTTTGACAGGCAGAGTTAGAAAGTGAGAGAGAGACAGAGAGAAAGGTCTTCCTTCTATTGGTTCACTCCCCAAGTGGTTGCCACGGCCGGTGTGCTGCACCAATCTGAAGCCAGGAGCCAGGTGCTTCCTCCTGGTCTCCCATGCGGGTACAGGGCCCCAAGCACTTGGGCCATCCTCCACTGCCTTCCCGGGCCACAGCAGAGAGCTAGACTGGAAGAGGAACAACTGAGACTAGAACCCGGCGCCCATATGGGATGCTGGTGCCACAGTTGGAGGATTAACCAAGTGAGCCACGATGCCAGCCATCTGCCTATTTTTTGAGACCTGTTCAGATGACTCTACTATGGAAAGTGAAGGTTACATTCTGTTAGGTGGTATACTGTAGAGTTCATTTTTGCATTAATCTAGATCACTAGACCCCTTTGTGTAATAAATACACCATTTAGTCTTTGGTAGAATTGCTTCACTAAACTGTACAATTAGGGTTTTATGTTCTATTTGAAAGATACTGTAGGAAATCAAACATATAGGAATCATCCTCATGTAAATTTTTAATTTTTCTTCACAACCAAAAGAGCCCAACTAGAACAAAGGAACTAATTTGACCAGTTCATGTACAAACATATATATGTTTTTGTATGTGTAGTAATAAGGGAGAGACAGGGCCTTATAAGGACAGGAGCCAAAATACAGCTGGGCCTCATGGAAACTTAAACTAAACTAGAGGCAGTGCTAAAAAATTAAGCAGCAAATAAATTGTAGATCTTTGCTGTAGTTCTGTCCCATAAGGTAGTTAACTGCATACTCTTCCTTTGCTTATCTTCATACTTTTTCTAGATATTCATTATTCTACCAAATGTTACTCTTTATTTTCTCTATTACTCTTTATTCTGGATGCTTACTCTCTTATTTTTTGCTGCCTTGTAAATTGGGCCTTCTGTTTGTGACTCTTATTGGACCTATACCTACATCTCTGTGCATCCTTTTAGTTTCAGTTGATATCAGACTTATCTACTTCACAATTCTTAATTTAGATTCACAAGCAAACTTTATTCATATTTAGATGGAGTCTAATAACAGACTGTTGATTAGTTATTGGTTATCTTACAGATTTCTTTCTTTCATTGAACTGTCAATCAGTGAAGGTGTCTGTCTGCCCAGTTTCCCCTTCTAGTTGGAATTATTCCACCTAAATCTCTGTGCCTGAGGAAGATATAGTGGGCTGTGCTTCATACAGAGGCAGGAACAATGGAAAACTGGCTCAAATAATGAAGGGGGTAGTGAAGTCTTCCCCAGGAAGATGAGACTGGAAAGTTAAAACTCTTAATGAGAATTTTTTGGATGAAGGAAAGGGTATGGGGTAAGGAGAAAGGCATTCTACTTAGAGGGGACAGGAGTGCAATAACTGGAGCCAATTCAGAGTTTGGCATAACTTTGAGAGTGTAAGTCATTAAATATGGCTGGATTGTGATGTGAGGATTGAGAGTGGGGAGGGCTGGGAGTGGAGATAGAAAGAAATTGATGGGCTCAATAAACATTGCTATGTAGAAGAATCAATTATATATTACTTTTTGTTTTTTGGTTGTTGTTTTGTATATGAGACGAGGACTGAGTGATAACTTCCATGGTTGAGCAACTGAGTAGATAGTGGCACTGTCTGCTAAGACAGGAACTCCCAGGAGAGGAGTAGGTTTGGAGAAGAATATTAGCAGTCTTTTTAAATGTAAATTTGAAGTGCCTTTGGCCATCAAAAAGCAGCCTTTGCATATGTATTCTGAAGCTTGTTGAAAGAAATGTGGGGCTGAAGATAACAGATTTGGGTAAATGGTATATACCTGATCACTGAAGCTCTTAGGATAGGTTAAATTGCTAAGGGAAAATGTATAGATGAAAAATGCAAAGTTCTGAGGAAAGGAGCCTTAAGAAGAGTAACTTAACAGAAGAGCAGGAAATAAGCCCCACAGAGAGAATGAGGATGAAAGGCCAAACCAGAAGGAAGAAAACCAGGATGGCAGGGAAACAGAATCAATGGGATATATGGACAGATGTATAAAGATAGAGATATATGAGAGAGGATTTATTAGGGGAACTGGCTCATAAAATTTTGGAGGCAAGAAGTCCCACTATATGCTATCTACAAACTCTGCAGAACCAGGAAAAGACAATAGTTTGGCTCAATCCAATTTGAAGGCTTCAGAACCAGAGAAGCTGATGTGTAACCCAGTCTAAGGCCAAAGGCTTATTCATTTGGGGATTATTGGTGCAAATCCCAGAGTCTAAAGGCTGGAGAATCTGGAATTCTGCTGTCCAAGGGCAGGGAAAGAAGGTTGTCCCAGCTCCAGGAGAGAGTACAAATGGGCCTTTCCTCTGCCTCTTTGTTCTATCTGTGCCCCACAGCCAATTAGATGGTGCCTCCCCACACTGAGGGAAGGCATTCTCTAAGCCCACTGACTCACATGTCAATCTCTAGAAACATCCTCACAGACACACCTAGAAATAATGCCATCCAGTTCTCCTTTTACTCATCAAGGTGGTGCTTGAACTTGACCACCACAATGGTATCTTGGAAGCTGAGGAGAACACCACGTTAAGAATAGGCATGTTTCAAGTGCTACATAGAAGTTAAGATTTTACCCAAAGCGAGTCTTTTATCCATTCTTCTTTTTAGTAGAATTGTTGTATATCTTATCTTCTATATGGCAGGTGTGGCTAGCCATGTGAGACTAAAAAGGCATAGTCCTTCCCCTCACAAAAGTTAGTCAAATGACAATCATGATGGAATTCTTAACACTCTGATAGTGTGCTTCTGTATTGGGTTCTGCAAAGCCCAGAAGATTCCTTGCAGTTTGCTCAACGACCACTATTAGGAGTAGAGTACCTGTCATGCCATGGGCTCAGTAAAAGGAGCATATTATTTATCTTCTTTCTTATTTCATGTCCGTATAAGATTTCATTTCAGCAAAGGCATCTGCAACTAAATATTTTAAAAATTTATTTTCTTATTATTATATTTTAAAATTATTATATTTTCTTTGTAGAGAAAAAGGGTATGATAGAAGTTTATAGGAAGGGTGCTTAATCCTGACTTGAAGGGACTTGGGTAAGTTATGAATGATGACCTGCAGGATAAGAAAAAAATTTTATCAAGAAAAAAATGGGATGGGGGAGCTGAGAAAAGTTCAGAAGACAAAAGGAGGATCAAAAAAACCCCAATTTTTAAAATTTCCACTCTTCTTTTTATTAGAGAGACAGATGAACAGAGTCTGAGAGCTCTCCCATCTGCTGTTTCACACCCCAAACAGCTACAACATCTGGAACTGGGACAGGCCAAAGCCTAGAGCCAGAAACTGAATCCAGATCTCACACAATGGATAGCAGGAAGCAAATTACTTCAGTCATTGTGGTCTACATTAACAAGAAGCTGGCTGTTATGGGCATTTGGGAAGTGGACTAGTGGATGGGAGTCCTGACCTGACTGTCTTTCAAATAAATAAAATAAATATTAAAAAAGAAGATCTGTGGTCATTGCTGGATTTATCAAGGCCATGGAAATGGATGCTGGAAACAGAAAGAAGGTCAGGCTCCTTGTAGGTCAGGGTTTGGGAAGCTAGGGCCTTGGATAAGGTCAGTTTTACCTGAATGTTATCCAGATACTTGTGGAGTTTAGGTGGAGAGGGTTTATAGTTGGGTGCTGAGGTCTTCCATGAGGAGCAAGGTATCTAAGAAAGTCAGATGAAAGTGATCAGAAGGAGAGGAGACAGGAACCTCAGGAGAAGAGAAGTGCAGAAGGAGGCCTGGAGGTGAGAAGTGGGAGGAGGACATCAACAGTGCCCCTGTTTAGCAGAGAAGCACCATCCTCAGGCAGAGCCAGGGTGCGCTTGGTTTTGGGGGCAGTGATTCCAAAGGGTTTTCATGATGAATAATTCTTCTAGTAAGTTACTTGACTATTTTCTAATTTTAAAAGGGAGTGGTCTCTACGTGTTTTCAATATAGTTAGTTCATGGGAAAATGAATTTTAATCTCTGTTAAAAGGATTATTATATTTTATTATCTTTTCTTGCCTTTTGTTTTCTTGGGAAATTCCTACTTCCTCCCTATTCCTCACCCAGGGTGGTGTTTTTGTTTTTGTTTTGTTTGGTTTTCACCAGTTTTGACTATGGGAGAAATTATTCATTCTCAGAAGGCTGCCATCTGTGCTGCAGCCTCCCTAACAGAATCTGAATGTTTCCCTGGAGTTCAGCTTATTTGAATACATTTACTTGTTTCATGTCATTGTCTTTTTGAATTATTTGCTTATTTGAGAGAGAGAGAGGGAGAACGAGAGCACAACAGTGAGCTCCCATCTGCTGGTTCACTCCTCAAATGCCCAAATGGTAGGGGACTGGGCCAGGCAGAGACCAGGAGCCTAACTCAATCCAGGTTTCCCACATGGGTAGAGGGACCCAATTACTTGAGCCATCATCACTGCCTTCCAGGGTATACATTAGCAGGAAGGTGGAATCTGGAGCTGGAGCTAGGTATCAAATGCAGGTATTCTAGTATGGGTTGTGGGCATCTTAACCAGAGTCTTGACTACTAGGGCACATGTCCCATTACTGTCTTTTTGAAGATAGTTGGTGTAAAAGATAACTTTGAAAACTGCTTTATCTGTTATTTTTAATCCATAAAACAACAGATCAATATGGAAACAAAAACTTGTTGCCTGTAATCTGTAGAATAATGTTTATTTAAAATATAATTATGCAGTTGAATTGTCTTCTGTTAATTTTCTATTTCTTAGTTGACTGATATCTGCAATAGTAACAATTAGATATAAAAATATGTTTCAGGGTTTGGCTAGGCTGTCTTTCTTGAATTTGTTATTTTCTGTTTAAATCTTATGAATAACAGCCTTGAATTTAATGGTAACTTGGAGAAGACATTATAACATAATAGAAAAAAAATCCCTGCTGATGAGTCATGGAGCAGTTAGCATGGAAAGCAAAAGAGACTATTTGCTTATATATAAAAGTTCAGGTTGCATATTCTTTTTCTGGCTTTTTTTTTTCTTTTTCCTAGTCTAACACATTTAACACAGTTTACAAGTGCCAATCTAATTTGCTAGACATTTTGTAAGGTAATAAAGCTAAGCAAAGTCTTTACCTTTAGTAAGCTCATTGGCTTACTAAAACCAATAGGAAGCTGTAGGAAGAGTGAAACTCAAATAATGTGAATATAAGGGAGAATGAGCTAAAGGCTTTGATTGTTCATTTTCTTTAAAAAATTAAATTTTTTTTTCATTTTTCATTAATTTTTTTTTTGACAGGCAGAGTGGAAAGTGAGAGAGAGAGAGAGAGAGAGAGAGAGAAAGGTCTTCCTTTGCCGTTGGTTCACCCTCCAAGGGCCGCCGTGGCCAGCGCGCTGCGGCCGGTGCAGCACGCTGATCTGATGGCAGGAGCCAGGTACTTATCCTGGTCTCCCATGGGGTGCAGGGCCCAAGGACCTGGGCCATCCTCCACTGCACTCCCTGGCCACAGCAGAGAGCTGGCCTGGAAGAGGGACAACCAGGACAGAATCCAGCGCCCCGACCGGGACTAGAACCCGGTGTGCTGGCGCCGCAAGGTGGAGGATTAGCCTAGTGAGCCACGGCGCCGGCTCATTTTAATTAATTTTTAATAGACTCAATATGATTTGTAGATACAAGTCTAAGAATATAATATTCCCCTCCTCTGTTCATTTTCAAAAAGGTAATACAAAAGAGAAACTGAAAAAGGAAATACTTGCTTTATGCTCATACAGTTTTCCACATAACATAAATATTTGAAAATCATCATGAATTAGAAATTGGAAAAATAAAACTTTAAGATTTAAAGATATCCACAAATTAACAGAAACTTTTGGTTGATATACTTATGGCTAGCAGAAGTTCCCGGCTCAGATATCCTGGCAGAGGGTGGGAGAGGGGAAGAAAATGGGATAACTTCACCTATAATATTTTTATTTTGTTGTTAAACCTGGCTTGTGGTCAGGTTTTTTTTTCTTTGTTTGTTTGTTTGTTTGTTTTGTATATGTCAACCTACTTGAGTTCTTTTGTTTCATGTGGTAGCAGTGATAAACATGGTTTCTCTTTTTTCTAGGAGAGCATATAGATTACTGTGGATATTCTGTACTTCCAATGGCTGTAGAACAAGATATGTTAATAGCTGTGGAACCTGTGAAAACAAACACTCTCCAACTGGGCAACACAAACCCCTTATATCCGTGAGTATTTATGATTGCTGGTGTGTGTGTGTGTGTGTGTGTGTGTGTGTGTGTATGTAGTGGACTATTTGTGCCTGAAAGAACTCTTTAGGAAATAACCACATATATAATCATTCATATAATTTATTGAAATTTTGTATCTGATATTTAAAAGAATCTAAGGCCAGTATTTAGTGTTTGTTCATTTTGTTCATTTATTCCTTCATTCAGAAGCATTTACCAAACACTTACCATGTGCTAGGCATTGTCTTTAATACCAGGTGATACAAAGGTGACAATAATTCTGATCTTGCGCAGAGGTATTTAAAATAGTCTACTGAAGTAACTGAGCAGTCAGGCCTAGTATCTGTCCTGTGTTTGTGCGGCACATGGTAAATCCTTTGTCACAACATCTTACTATATTTTGTATTATTACCTCTTTGCTCACCTGTATCCCTCAACAGATTGTAAGCTCTATGACTGGAGGTACTGTTGTCCCTTTTCTTCAATGCCCTAGCCTCAGCGTGAGGAAGAGAGTCTGGCGCATAACAGATTCAAGTTTCTAGTACAGACACTTTATCAAGTTAAGGTTTTTTTTTTTTTTAGATTTCTAGTTTACCAGGATTTAAAACATTCAATAATGGGTTTTCAGTTTTATTAAATGTCCATTCAGTCTTGAAGATCAGTTTTTTATAATATGATGAATTACTTTGCTGGGTTTTCTAATGTTGAACCATGTTTGAATCCCTGAGATAAGCCCTATCTGTTGATAATGTATAGTGACCCACGCCATATAATCATATTTCAGTCAGTGATGGATTGCCTGCCTGATGGTGGTCCCATGAAGTTATAATGGAGCTGAAAAATGCCTATCGCCTATCATGGGTTTGTGTTTCAAGCTAAGTATTATCACAAAAACAACAAGAAATTCTTAGAAAATTAAAGACATTAAAAGTAAAATAGTTACAGTAAGCTAAGCTAAGCTCATTTGATTATTGAAGAGACAATTAAAAAATAAGTTGAGCGTAATCTAAATGCACAGTGTTTATAAAGCCCACAGTGGTAGACAGTAATGTCAGGCCTTCACATTCCCTCACCAGTTAATCACTGGCCCTCTCAGAGCAACTGCTCGTCCTACAAACCCCATTCATATCAAGTGCCCTGTACAAATGTGCTATTCAAAAAATGTTAAGATCATATTTGATGTGTATCTTTTCTGTTTAGATATGTTTATATATACAGATATGTACCACTGTGCTGAAATTCCCTACAGTTGGGGCTGGCACTGTGGCGCAGTGGTTTAAACCACTGCCTGCAACACTGGCATCCTGTATGTGCACCTGTTCAAGTCCTGGATGTTCCATTTCCGATCAGTGGATGATGGCCCAAGTTCATGGACCCCTGCCATCCACAGGGGAGACCCAGTGGAAGCTCCTGGCTCCTGGTTTGGCCTGGCTGTGCGCTGGCCATTGTGGCCATTTGGAGAGTAAACCAGCAGATGGAAGATCTCTCTTTGTCTCTATCTCTCTTTCTCTCTCTCTGTAACTCTGCCTTTCACATAAAAATCTTTTTTTAAAAAAGTTGCCTATAGTATCAAATAGTATGGGTTTGTAGCCTAGGAGCAATAGAGTATACCATATAAGAGTTAGGGAAGTAAAGATACATTTTCAAGGTAGGTAGCCTCTGCTGTAGGCAAGGGGCATGATTACACCAGGACCCCTAGGAAGTATGAGCGTTCCTCTCAGAATTGTTCACTTTTTGGGTGGCATTCATGGCATGGAAATACCATAACTTATTCACCAATAAAGCACAAGGATGTCTTGAAAATAACTGAAAGGCTCCACACATGTTCATCTTCTGTACATCACATAAGGAGGTGTATGATATCCTTTTACAGGTGATGTTAATTTTGATCATTTGGTTAAGGTGATATCTGACAGAATCTTCCAACATAAAGTTAGTATTAAAAATGTTACAATTAATAACTATCTCATGGGGAAATACTTGTAGTCTATGAAAATATCTTGTTTCTCACCAAAATTTTACTCTCCAATTTTAGCATCCATTGATGATTCTTTCCTGAAAGAATTATAATGGAGTTTACCATGTAGTGATTTTTCTTTTTTAACAATTTATTTATTTGAAAGACAGAGTAACAGAGAGAGAAAAAGAGAGAGAGAAAAGGAAAGGGGAGGGCTCTTTCATTTGGTGTTCCATTCCCCAAATGTCTACAGTGACCAGTGCTGGGCTAGGCTGAAGCCAGGAGCCAGGAACTCCTGCCAAAGGGATGGCAGGAACCAAAGTACTTAGACCTTCATCTGCTGTCTCCTGAGTGCATTAGCAGGAAGCTGGGTTGGAAATCGAGGCAGGACCCCATCCCAGGCACTCAGGTATGGGATTACAGGCATCTCAAGCTGTGACTTTGTGGCTTAACTCAATGTGACACAACGCCTGCCTCCACCACCATTTCTTCTACATCTATCAGGTACTCCAGGGGCTGGCGCTGTGGCATAGTAGGTTAAGCTTCTACCTCTGGCACTGGCATTGCATATGAGCACTGGTTTGAGTTCCACTTCTGATTCAGCTCCCTGCTAATGGCCTGGGAAAGCAGTGGAAGATGGCCCAAGTGCTTGGGCCCTTACACCCACGAGGGAGACCTGGAAGAAGTTCCTGGCTCCTGGCTCGCTTCTTCTGGCTGTTGTGGCCATTTGGGGAGTGAACCAGTAGTTGGAAGACCTCTCTCGCTGTCTCTTCCTCTGTCTGTCTGTAACTCTCCCTCTCAAATAAATAACTCAGTTTTTTAAAGTGTACTTCAGAGGGTATGTGGGAAGTGTGCATTATCTTTTAGTGCAATTTTCCTGAACTTTTTGAAGTTCCCTTTTGGCATTTTACTGTAAGGAAGAGTTTATTCTTCACTTAACTATTTATGCATTTATTAATTTATATCAGTTTAGATGCATGGAATTTTACTTCATTTCTTCCTTTGTAATTGCTAAAAAGGCATATAAAGGTAACACATGGTACTGGTGCTGTGACACCGTAGGTTAATCCTCTGCCTGTGGCACTGGCATCCCATGTGGGTGCTGGTTCTAGTCCCAGCTGCTCCACTTCAGATCCAGCTCTCTGCGATGGCCTGAGAAAGCAGTGTAAGATGGCCCAAGCACTTGGGCCCCTGCACCCGCATGGGAGATCCAGAGGAAGCTCCTGGCTCCTGGCTTCTGGCTTTGGATCGACTCAGCTCCGGCCATTGAGGCCATTTGAGGAGTAAACCGGGGTCTGGAAGATCGATCTCTCTGTCTCTCCCTCTCATTGTCTGTAACTCTACCTCTTAAATAGATAAATAAAAAAAAATCTTTAAAAAAGTAACACACGCTCATTGCCAAAAAATTTTCAAGAACTACAAGTGTATGTGATTAAAAACACACATACCTTTTTCAGGAGGTAACGCCTATAAATGCTTTGGGTTTTATACCTTCAGGTCTATTCATCTGCAAACATACATAGTCAGCATATCAGGTCCCCACTTTGTACCAGGCACATAGTTTCGCTTTTGTTACATTTTTGTGTTTCTTTTTTCAGCATAGATTCTTAGTTTGTTCAATGTGTGATACTCTACTAGAATCATGTATTTTGTGTGTTCGTTCTTTTTCTTAAATTGTACAGATGGCAAAATTGGATAGGTGGTAGGAGAGGGGGGGACTATCACTTTGGGTCTGTTTCAGCTGGGGGTCTGCCAAACGGCAGGCCCAGAGGATAAAGCATTCCTGTGGTTTACACCTGCAAACTGAGGTCCAACGTGAAAGAGAAAACGGTTGTAGGTTATGCGATAATACATTTGTCGTCTCTGTTTCAGGAAGTAAAAAGGGTTGTTTGGAGGTAGTTTAGTCATTAAGGCCTCTACAGCTTCCCCTTTTTACTTTTAGCAGCAGCTGGATGTCTTCGTTGTTTCAGGGTAGACTGTGAAGTACGTAAATTCAATGCTCAAGGAAATGTCAGTATCGCTGTTTTGACACAAGATGGCAGCAGATAGCCATTGATTTTTTTTTTTACAGTTCAAGGCCTCCAGATTTAAATCCATGTTGTCTTTTGTTTTTGCAGGGACTTCAGTACTAGTTCTAATAACATTCAGATCGACAAAACCAAGCCTCTGTGGCACAACTATTTCCTATGTGGATTTAAAGGAATTCAGGTAAATTGGTTTGTAAAGCACCTACTAGCAAATGAAATTGTGGTGTGTACTATGTCACATTTTAAAATTTGCTGTATCAATTTTTGTTTCCTTTCAGTACTAATGTACATTTCTATTTTGCTAATTTATTTTTCACAGGATGGGGGAATATGAATGTTTCTGGGTATTGCTCATAGCAGGTGGTAGTGGTCTTTCATAGATAGCTGGCTGTTCATAAATCAGGTATATCTGACAAATGTCTGTCTTGTTTTTAAATGACTGGGTTTTTTCCCCCTCATTTATTTGAAAGATAGAGAGATAATGATAGAGAGAGCTCTTTTTCACTCCCCAAATACCTGCAACCTCTAGGGCTGGACCAGGCCAAAGCCAAGAGCCATCAGCTCAATCTGGGTCTCCTATATGGGTGGCAAGGACCCAAATAATTGGGTCCTCACCACCTCCTCTCAGGGTGCACCTTAACAGTGTGCTGGATTGGAAACAGAGGTGGGACTTGAACTAGTCACTTCAGTGTGGGACATGGACATCCTAACTGCTGTGCCAAACACGAACCTCCTCTGTCTGGTTTTTGAATCTTTTGAAGATCCTTTCTCATAATACTGTTTACATTTTGTTCCTGAGCTATAAAGGAGTACACTGTAGTAGAATTTAGAGTTGGGCAGTCCTGAATTTCAGTCTCTATGCTACTCAGGCGTGTAACTTAGCCACATAAGACTCAGATTTATCAGTAGATGTTACTGCTCTCTTAACAGAGGTTGTTGTGAGGATAACACAGTGTGTGATGTTGTTAGGCATCCAATAAATGGTAAGTAGTGTTGTTACTGCTTACCTCAGATGGGGTTAAAAAAGATACAGTGAAATACACTAGTGTATTTTCCTAGAAACATTGAATAATTCCCTTGAAAATATCTAATGTCATGTGTAAGAACAAGGAAATACTTCCATTTTCATAAATTTTTAAAAAGTATGAAGGACAAAATAGAAAATGGGTATTTGGGGGCTGGCGCCGTGGCTCACTTGGTTAATCCTGCGCCTGCGGTGCTGGCATCCCATATGGCTTCGGTTCTAGTCCCGGCTGCTCCTCTTCCGATCCAGCTCTCTACTATGGCCTGGGACAGCAGTAGAGGATGGCCCAAGTGCTTTGGCCCCTGCACCCGCATGGGAGACCAGGAAGAAGCACCTGGCTCCTGACTTTGGATCGGCGCAGCTCCTGGCTATAGCGGCCATTTGGGGAGTGAACCAACGGAAGGAAGACCTTTCTGTCTCTTTCACTGTCTGTAACTCTACCTGTCAAATAAATAAATAAATATCTTTAAAAAAAGAAAATGGGTATTTGCTTTTTATAACAATTTAATATTTTAGACAATTATGTTATTGGTAGTGGCTCTTGGAGAGAATCACAGGCAAAGAACAATGAGAGGTAGATTTTGCTTTTTAGACCAAAAGCAGATATGTTAACTCTTGTTTTAGAGAGCTTGTGTTCCTGACTGCCCGGTGGTCATATTTACAACTTATTCGTGTGTAGCCCAGGATTCAGTGGCATATCTGTTACAGAGATGCATCAAATGCATAGTCCTGAACTCTAAATGTGGTATCTTTTCTTAGAGTTACCACATTCATTACTGTCTTTTGTGTGTGTGTGTGTTTTATTTCTCCTGTGGTAATAACTTATGGGAAAAGTTATTGGCAGGTTCTAAACCTTCAAACCATCTGGCTTGTCAGAAGTATTAGTGGGAATTACAGTATTTGGAAGCATTTGCCTGGCAAATGCAGTTGTGTTTTCCATACAACAACAAGTCTGTTTGTAGTGTGTGGGTAAAATGGCCTAAATAATGCACGTTGTGTTGTTTTTGAGCATTTTGTGTTAAAAACCTTCCTCTTTGGTTTGACAACTTATGTGCAAGAGCAGGTTTGTACAGTGAACTTCTAGCAGAAAAGTAGTATAAATGTTTGCCTGTTCAGAAACCTTCAAATTAAAATACTAGAAAGTTCCAAAGAATAATCTGTTTATACAAAATTGAACATGTATCCTTTTGGGATAGAGCTATTACAGAACTTGGCATAAGCCATTTGCATTTTTGAATCTGTTGTACATTTTAATTTAAACACTGTGTGATAAGTTTGTAAGTCTGACTCACATTCAAGACACCCTGTAGATCAGTTTATAGTTAAATAGATAGTATCCTACAAGGATTATTTTTTTAAGCAAGCTGTCTAACATTCTGTATGAAAGGGCACTGGCAGAAGCAGTGTTTCAGTTTATAATTTGTATTTCTGGAAGGAAATTTTTCAATGACTTGAAATAAAAAAGAGAAGCACATCCAAGTGAATCTCTTCTTTTGTGGTACATGAGTTTTGCCAGCTAGGAGAAAAGGACAAAAAAAATTAAGGAAAGAAATGATCTTTTATTTGCAGAGTTTTGTTGTTACTCTGGCTATTCTATCTAGTGTATTGAAATTTCTCCCTAGAATAATGTGTATGATGAAATGCATAATTAGGTAACATAATAGCATTTCATACTTTGGTCTTGAGTTGCGTGAGCCTTGCAAAGATGAGGGTACTTTTTCTTGAGGAGGAGGTGGCCTTGAATTTATCTTTAATCCTAAACCACAAAGGCTATATGATATCACCCAGTGTCATAGTCCCAGTTAGTCCTGTGAGTATATTAGAGCTTTGTGTCTAAGTCTGAGTCTTACTGTTTCTTTGGACTTCCCTATTTGTAGAAACAGAGTTTCCCTGCCTTGTTTAGAGTCTCCATTCTCATTTGTGGCTGAATTCTAATTTGGCTGTCTTTAAAGCTACCATATGGCCAAATTGTATCTATAAACTTGAGGAGAAATCTGGATTTCCTCATATAGCTGACTTCCATTAAATCACAGTGACAGTATGCTGGCCCCGATTTCTAACTGCAGTGGGAATCTGAGAACCGAGACCTATTCCCAGCTCCCTATGTGTGATATTGGGAAAGTCGCTTAATCTCTTGGTGCCTAGGTTTTTCTGTAAGTAAAATAGAACTGAGAAACCTTGAAACTCTGTTTTCCAGAGGACTTTCTGAAGCGAGACAGTGCATAGAAGCCAGCACTTCTCTAGGCGTTAGAATTTTTATAATGCAAGAATGCTGGAGATGTACTATGTGGAGTTTTAACCCACTTTGCTGATAATTGTGTCTTTCTTTTCTTATACTTGACATGTTGAACTTTCATTGTCTTTTTTTTTTTTTTTTGCATTTGCTCAAATTCAATATATAAGAATATTCACAGCAATTTTAGGAAATGGACCAGTAGCTTTTTGGTGAACAAAGTAAAAAAGTGATTTTCAGGTTGCCTTACCCATTGGCCAAGAGCCATTAAATAAAATGTTATGTATAGGCCGGCGCCGCGGCTCACTAGGCTAATCCTCCGCCTAGCGGCGCCGGCACACCGGGTTCTAGTCCCGGTCGGGGCGCCGGATTCTGTCCCTGTTGCCCCTCTTCCAGGCCAGCTCTCTGCTGTGGCCAAGGAGTGCAGTGGAGGATGGCCCAGGTGCTTGGGCCCTGCACCCCATGGGAGACCAGGAAAAGCACCTGGCTCCTGGCTCCTGCCATCGGATCAGCGCGGTGCGCCGGCCGCAGCGCGCCGGCCGCGGCGGCCACTGGAGGGTGAACCAACGGCAAAGGAAGACCTTTCTCTCTGTCTCTCTCTCTCACTGTCCACTCTGCCTGTCAAAAAAAAAAAAAAAAAATGTTATGTATAGTCCCAATTAAATTGAATTGTACACCTAGTTTCTATAAATATTATAAGAAGTCTACTGGTGAACCTCTGTTCTCTGAAGGTTATACTACTCCTTAAATTCAACACTGAAATGACTATTGCTGTTTTTCCTTATGTTCTTAGGAACACTTTGGTCTCAGTGACCTGACTGGAATGAACTGCCTGGTAGATGGAAACATACCGCCAAGTTCTGGCCTCTCCAGCTCCAGTGCCTTAGTTTGTTGTGCTGGCTTGGTGACACTCACAGCACTGGGAATGAACCTATCCAAGGTAACCACCTTTTATAGTAGTGCTCACAGCAGCCTTTCTTTCTAAAGGCATTAGCATCCGAATCTCAAAATCAGAATATCCTTCAAGATCAAGAAACCTTGTGTTCCCTGAAAGGACAGCACAGGTGGGCAAGCATGTTAAATTACCAAGTCTTGCTTGTGTTAAATCACTATAAGATAGTGAGTGAACCGATCTATGAATAACTGTATTAAAATGTTCTTGGATTAAGTATGCAGTTTGAAGGTATATTTCAGTGACTTCATTAACAAAGTAAATTTAGAGCAAGAAATTCTAGGTCTTGTGGCTGAATCTGCTTATTTGCACCTAAAACCTTAAATTTAAATATTTGACAAGCAGTGGGTGAAAAGGATAAAGAGCAGGTAATAAAGGAACTGAACAGCAAATCTGTTTATGCTGGCAGGTTAGTCACTAACATAAACTAAAAAAAAAAAAAATGGCATTTAAAAGAGGAAATGCTTATTTAAAGGAAATGTAAATCCTGCAAGAGGCCAGAAAGCCTCAACTTTACAAGTTCACATAAATCTCTGACTTGCAGTTCGGAGTGCATGTGCTCAGCTTTAATTAATGTTTTGGCATTCTGGTTCAAATAAAATGTTATCATAGGTTCTTCTCTGCCCCTGTAAGACACTGCAAAGTTTACAGGTAGTTTGGGAACAAACTAGGCAGCAGGCAGCAGAAGAGAAGGTCAGTCACATACTTAGTCTCTTTTAAGTGTGTTTAAATTTTTAGTTTGAACATTTTATATGTGGGGAAAAGGAAAACAATGAAAGAGAAGGCAAAGGCAAAGATAGAATGAATTCTTTGCCTTAGTGTCATGTGTAAGTATACATAATTAGTCCTTTGTAAGCAATGACTTATTTGGGGCAGATGATAAGTAACTAAGGATAATTACTTATTATTTGATTTTAGAGAAGAGAGAAAGCAAGGGGGAAATAGGTTCAACTTTCAGTCTGGTAGTTTGTTCATTTGTTTTTTCATCATTCATCCAATATTTATTTAATGGCTGCTTTGTGCTGAGTGATGTTAAAGTATTGAGATATAATACATACCATCTTAAACTTTACTGTACTTATGGTCTTAAAGGGGAATAGAGACAAATATATAGGCAGTTATAATGTGGCAGTTGGGTAAGTAGTGTGGTATGGGAACAGATTTAACACAGATTTAGAGAGCATAGGACATCTCACCTGAGACATAAAGGAGTCAAGGAATTGTAGATATTAGTCAAGAAGTACTAATGGGGGATGGCATTTGGCACAGTGGTTAAGAGACCATTTGGGATGCCTGCATTGCATATTGCAGTGCCTGGGTTTGAGTCCTAGCCTTCTACTCATCCAGCTTCCTGCTGATATTCAGCCTGGGAGGCAGTAATTGTGGCTCAAGTAAATGGGTCCCTGCCACCCATGAGGGGAGACCTGGATGAATTCCAGGTTCTTGGCTTTGGCTTGATCCTGTCTTGGCTGTTGAAGGCAATTGGGGGATAAATTAGCAGATAGATCTCTATCTTTGTCTCACTCTCTATGTATGAAAGAGAGAAATAAAGAAAAAGAGAAAAGAAAGAAAATGAAAGAAAAAGAAAGCAGGAAGGAAGGAAGAAAGAAAAGAGGAAAGAAACAAAGGAAGAGAGAAAGGAAATCAAATACAAGACAAAACTAATGGAGGAGTGAGCTTTTGGTATAGTTGTTGAGATGCTGTTTGGGATGCCTACAACACATATCAGAGTGCCTGGGTAGTTGGGTTCCTGCTACCCACATGAGAGAACTGGATTGAGTTCCAGCTCCCAGCTCTGGCTTGGACCAGCCCTGACTCTTGTGGGCATTTGGAGAATGAACCAGTAGATAGGAGCTGTCTGTTTCTGCCTATCAAATAAATAGAATAAAATAAAGAAAAATAAAAAATGTTGATGGGATTATAGTGCTAATAACATGAGATAAGGAAATATCAGGTGGGAGGAACATCATGTGGAAACAATCTGGTATAAGAGTGATCAGGCGGCCGGCACCGCGGCTCACTAGGCTAATCCTCCGCCTAGCGGCGCCGGCACACCGGGTTCTAGTCCCGGTCAGGGCGCCGGATTCTGTCCCGCTTGCCCCTCTTCCAGGCCAGCTCTCTGCTGTGGCCAGGGAGTGCAGTGGAGGATGGCCCAGGTGCTTGGGCCCTGCACCCGCATGGGAGACCAGGAAGAAGCACCTGGCTCCTGGCTTCGGATCGGCGTAGCGCGCCTGCTGTAGTGGCCATTTGGGGAGTGAACCAACGGAAAAGGAAGACCTTTCTCTCTGTCTCTCTCTCTCACTGTCTAACTCTGCCTGTCAAAAAAATAAATAAATAAAAGTGATCAGGCTTGTTGAAGGAACTAAAAGGGGTTCAGTAAGTGTGGAACATGTAGTAACTTGGGTAGCAGGGTAGGAGATCAGATGCTGGGCCTTGTAAAAAATGTTGAACAATTTGCACTTTATCTTGATTTCTATGGAAAACCATTGCAGGGTTATAAGAAGAGGGTAACATGATCATGTCTGAATTGTGACAAGGTTAAGTTTAGATTTGAGTGTAATAATGTTGTTGTCAGGGGTGATTTGGTATAGGGAAGTGACACTGAGAATGGATTGGATGAAAGATTCAAGGCACATCTCAGAATCATTAGGGCTTGGCCATTGATTGGGTGTAGGGATGGGGGACAGCAGGAGTCAAGGATTCTACCCATGTCTCTGGCTTTATTCATTGGAACATAGATGGAAAATAGAGTTGATGGAAAATTGATCTGACATGCTGAGTGTGAGGGTCTCTGCATTATGATAAGTTATTGAGTTGTTACCAAAAAATCTCTGAAATTCAAGAGGGAGATCTGGCTTTGAGACGGTCAATTGGAGAATCGTTAGTGTTGTCATTGGCTTTTGAATCTACAGGAGTGGATGAGAACACCCAGTAGTGGAATTTAGAGGACATATAAAGAAGATGAGGACAGAGCCCCATAAGCATGAACACTGAGGAATGGCAAGGGGAGATGTCCACCGACAAGACTGAGTATCCCAATCAGTAGGAGGAAAACCAGACAGTGAAATAACAATAAAGGAAGACGATGTTTCATGAAGAGAGTGGCAGTGTTGTCAGATGCTTCCAAGAGGGTGAGGCTTGAGAAGCTTCCAGGGAAAAGAGCAACAAAGAAACTGAACAAAACTTTGGGAAGGACAGTTTAGAAAGGAAGTGGGGTCGGGAATGGGTTGAAAGGTTTATGAGGGAGGAGAAACTGAGAAAGGTGTGTCGATACAAAATGTCTGGCAGTGCCTGGACAACAAGATCCTCTGGTGTCTGAAGGGAGGTGTGAAGTCAAGGAATTCATTTCTTTTTAGGGAGGTTTGGTAAAAGTTTTTTTTGTGTGTTTTTCTGGCCCTTTGATAATGTGACTATTAAGGGGAAAGAATAAAAGACACAGAAAATGAAACATTTGAAGCTTTAGAATTAGTTGTGCTATTTCTGTTTTCAAGGTCAAAAAAATAGCAAAGAATATTTTTGTCAGAACTGACTCCAAAGTCTACAGCATAAAGGGAGCAATGTGTATCTTCTGGCTTTCCCCGCTAATCTAAGTTGTAATAAAAATTCGTATTTTCTAGGGGATGAACATAATTATTTGGAAAGCCCGCCCTTCCTTCCTTCCTTCCTTCCTTCCTTCCTTCCTTCCTTCCTTCCTCTTTTTTCTCAAGTCAGAATCTTTGAGGAGAAGTCCCCAATTTTCTGAGTCTTTAAGTATGATCATATTTATGATTTTTGAAAATCATAAAATTTCAAGATAAAGTAGTTAAAACTTTTCTTTTTATGGGTGTATCAGTGTCTCAGTAGTAAACAAATGACATGTGGGATACAGAACTTAATAAAGCAACTACTTACAGAGGTGTGAGCAAGGTCAAACAAAACAACTAGGAAGGGTTTCCTTAGGAAGCCAAAGGAGCTATGGCTGTAGAGAAATACAGTGAAGCAGGGAAAGAATGGTATGGGTGAGAGTAGCAAGGAGCAGGAGTGGAGGAGGGGGTTGGTTCATTGATGTCAGTCTTCTGGTGTCGAGAAAGTGTGAGAACAAGGAGCACAGGGACAAACAGGGAATAACCAGCCTATTTGATATGGACACTGTACCCCACGCCACTGCACACAACTGCTGCAAATGGGGCATGGTAGGAAGATGTAGAACTTGTTAATTCTTTAAATGTTGCAGGTTTGAAACCAGTAAAACAATTTGGCTAGTCAGCCAGAGAGTGTAGAAACCAGAAATCATGAATCAGAATGGTACTGATAGGAGAGAGTATGGTGTGGTAAAAGACTTTTTTGGATTTAAGATGTCAGAATAAACACATATTTACTCTTTATTTCTTGGTTCTTTAGTCTTTTATCAAAAGCCACTCCCAAACAACAGGGAAAATAAGACAAGGAAACACAAGCCCCAGCTTTGATAACCAAAGAGACATAAATAACCCTAAGCCACAAAATATAAAGATGGAAAGTGGGTGGAAAACTGGTGCATGACATAGCAGAGTGGAGAAAGGTCAGGGCCAAGTGCCTGTGGACACAGAGAAAGATGGAAAGCAGTCTGACTCACCCCGCAGCCCTGTGGAAAGGCTTAGGGAGAAATCAGCACGATGTGATAGCTGGGAGCCCATCTGAAAGTCTTTATTAGAGTCAGTCAGACCCTCAAAGCCCGCTCTCAACTGAGACCATTTCCATCCACCTTTGCAGGAGTCTTTGGAGAAACAACCAGAGATCATCTAGACTTGGGGACACTGAGCACTGAGAAAGGCAGGACAAAAAACACATTTGAGAACTGGGGAATTAAAGGACAGTCTGTATTTGAACAGTGAAATTTCCAGTTCCCTCCTACTGGCAGCCTCACCACCTTAATAATAATCCATTAGGATAATTGGTGGATCCTTCTTAGAGGAAATGCAGCCATCCTAGAGAAAAGACCTACAGACACTGATATTTGGGGAACCCCT